TTCCTTCAGAATTTCCATCAAAAACCTTATTACTTGACATTTGCAATAACCCAACTATGCACGATACCTGTAAATACCTTTGTTGACATGTAAACACTTGACAGAATAAATAACTTAATCGATTTCAGATCATGCGCTTTCGTTTATTGTATTATAATTGCCAGTGAATAGGGTCGAATGCATAAGCCATTTTACTACAAATTACGATTATAAATTCTGGGTCACGTTTCGCCAAGAACTGAAATTATACTTAATCCCCCCTGATTTCGTTTCAATAATGAAATTAAAACTGGAATGTACATAAAAAATATTTAATCGTCAAATTTCAACATGTCAATGTTACACAGTAAGTTATTTCAAAATTCAATTTAATAATGCCATTCGGACCTAAATGCCAGTTTTGGTGCAAGATTGAGCTAGGTAATGCAATAAACTAAATCTATATCGTAAAATTCACAAAACATTTTACGATTTTACCAATTTTCAGTATGCTCGTTTTGAACCTACCACAGGGATTTAACACTTTATTTGCTATAAGCAAAACCTCGTTTTAGTAGAAATAGACCAGATTTGAAGTACTCATGGTTATTATTTATTAAACACAAGCAAGAACTGAATAAATACTGCAGGTTATACAGAACAGTTTTCGCGGAAAATACATTTTCACGGTTTTTGCGGAAAGCCGAAGCTACGAATTAAGTTGATGAATAAAAATAAATCACATACAGCTTAAAGAATCTTGAAGTTGTACACTCCATACTGCGCGAATTGTTATTTTACGGGCACATAAACGCGAAAATAGCTGTGCACGAAAACATAACAAACTGAAGTAACTCAAAAACATCATTTCCACTAAAGTATCAGCAATATCTGAACATGATAAATGCTACTCATTTCATACGTGCCTGTATTAATATACCCTGTTAATAAGTAGCTTGGTGGGTAGGACCGGCATGGATATATTACACGTATCACGACTATACAATTATTATACAGAATTGATATACAAAATTCTCGATTATTTTCCGTTTCGCTGGAGGCTCCTGTAAATTCAATACAACAAAGCGATAAAAACCTTCAGCGATACCTTGATGAAATATTAACACGATTGTCATAGCAACTAAGTGTGAATCTCAGACACTGGAGCCGGTCAGATGTAGGGCGAACAAGTCGTCGTACTAGCACGATAAAGCTGACATAGGGGCGNGTTGGAGCGGTAGGAGGGGATGGGGAAGGAGGGGTAGGAGGGGATGGGGAAGGAGGGGTTGGAGCGGTAGGAGGGGATGGGGAAGGATGGGTTGGAGGGGTAGGAGGGGAAGGGGAATGAAGGGTGGTAGGATATGGCTTTCTTCTATTCTGTTGTGACGCCATGACGCCGTGACACAGTGAGACAGCGGCGTGTTTATATTTAGATTCACTATTGTATACTTAGAGGCAGCAGTACATGTACGTCAGAAGAAACTGAACCACTTCAGACGCCTCGTGTTTAAAGCCACCCCCGGGTGGAGCCTTGGTCTGCGACAGCGTCGTCATATAACCTAGAGATACTATAACACTAGAGAACACGGGAACCCCTAGCCTAAGCACAGGGACCCGGTGATTTGTTAAAGTTGGTATGTAACAGGGTTTAGATCTACTCTCGATTATAAAACTGACATCCGAATTATGTTCATTGAGGTGATATTTTTATCGAAAAGGATAGGTCCATATATACCATCTGTAAGAAATAATCATGTCCCTGTGACCTGATAATTAGTCACAGCTATGATTGGACCTAAAACAAGGTGTTCAGAGAAATTTTACACGTTTTTGGAATGTAAATGAACTTTCGGTAAAAATGCCATCCAATGAAGATATAAACAAAATAATCAGGTCCCTGTGCCAGTGATCATATGTACCTATTGCAATTGAGAAAAAAACCTATGCATCTTTATATAAGTGCATTAGGTTTTTTAACGGTACCTATACCCTAAGCAACGAGTGAGGATGAGTGCCCGTTGCTAGGGAGAGCTAAGTAACACATGACGAAACCAGGGACACATTCCGCTCCCCTGACAAATCCGTTTCCATGGACACCTAATTGTTACAGGTTAACACAAAAATCACTCTGAAGAAGATGGCGCGACTTTGTACCGTAACGGAATGCACGGCACAAGACTGGGAAATTATTCTGTAGTAATATCTTAAGTGTTACTTCGCTACCCCGTCTCCATGAAAAGCGGTAAGTAAATATAAATAAAAAATAATCAAAACAAACGTTGTTGTAAGATTAGTCAACTTAATATCCACTGTATCCTTCTTCTAATGTGATTGAAAGTTAATTTGTAAACGTTCTACAAGGAAATCTTATTTGTTGTATAAAGGTAGTCAAGAAACGAATTTAGAATAATAGTTTGAAATATTGAGTAACTACATGTAACACAGTTTATAGAAACTGTAAATCGAAAATGGTGATCGAATATAACAGTCAAACTAACAAGACCGATCGAAAATATCCGATCTAAAACAAAAAAATACAATCAAACTACAAGTAGTAATATTCAAATTAGCTTACACGACTGATCGAATATAACACTAAAACAGTAAAATGTAATATCTTTGAAGACGGAGAAACAAATGAAATTCTCATTTTGATTAATATATTGCGAAAAAGTTATCTCTGTTTTAGGCAATATTTTTATGTATCTATTTTTTTTTTATATAAAATAAAGCATGCTTTCCGACAAATGTGATTTTTAAATGAATTTTTGATAAAAACTTTTAATTTGTTCTTGGAATTTTATAAATGCGTTTTACCTTTTTTCCTGTTCAATTGAGTTTTCGTGAATAGATTTATAATGAAGCATATTTTATATTCTCTTAGGATTGGACGACTATTGTGAAATTACTACCACTGTTGACGATACATCATATGTGCTGGTGTTTCTGTGAGATTACTATTTGAATTTAAATTTAATTATTACACTGGGCTCTAAAAATCAATTAAAACCACTCAACGTGGACACATAGCAGATTACAGTTAGAATATATTTATTTTTGTGGAAAGATTTCGTTATTTCACGTTAAAATTCAAAGGCATACTTGTATTTAAGCATTTTATGTCTTAGTAAGTTACCTCCCTCATGACCCCTTTCATGTCAATTATACCCCCTTTAAACCAATTTTATGTAACAAAAAACAAAAAATGTAAGATATCTCCCCATACCACAGTTATCTTCCCTAAGGGGACAGAGTTATCTTCCCTTTAATTCTAAATGTATTCTGTTTGATGACTAGTACGTTTACAAACTACGACTTATTAAACTCCCATAAAGTCAGTCAATGTCAAGATGAGTTGGCGTTTTACCCTTGATAAGCGACCTCCTCTAAAGCCCATTTAATAACATGCGATGATTAATTGATTCATTTCCCTAAGAAAGTTACCTCCCCTGTTTCGCGATTCTTTTCCCTTTCCGGATTTAACCGGGTTTTAGATATGCATATGCTTGAGAGGGGGTGGGAGCTATTTACTTCCTGTAAACAGCGATGAATCTGACAGCAGTAAAATCACTGGTTTGTAGTTTCCGACTACATATCAGACAATCGGATACTAGTCAGTAGATATGCTTTTATGAAGGATACGAAATATCAACCATTTCCACCAAAATTTACCAATCTCAAACTGTGATGAAGCTAGCTTATAATTACTTCTGATTTACCTTCAAACCGGAAGGATTACATACCCCCTTAATTTACCACGTGATCACAAAATCACGTGACCTTTGTTCCGGAAACTTGTATCTCAGAAACAATGTAAACATGCCGTGTCTAGATAACTATTTCTCCCGTTCAAATAATCTCTCTATATGTGAAATCTAATTGTAGTAGTTTTTCCTTGCATGTTAACTGTCCGTTAATGTCATCCATGGTTTCTGTTCAATTCAAATTCCTTTTCGATATTCAATGGAAACCGATAAACATATATAGCTTCATCCCCATGTACACAACAAATACCGTCTGAACACGCACGAATATTAAAGAAATCTCGGCAAATGAATATTAAGAAATCTCGGGAGGATTTGTTCACTCTTGAGAACCTTGGGGGATCTAGCGGGATTCAGTTATCTGTTTCCCAATCAAATTCTATGTATACTTTATCCCCCCACGTCGCCCCTCTCTCTAAAAAACCAAAGGACAATATAATATTAAATTTCTAATGCCTTTCACAGTGCATTACAGCAAGAGATGAAAAATGTATATTTCATAAATATTGACCGTCATCCGCTATATTTTCTGGAAACAGCTGACGACTGACGTCACAGATACAGAACACAATGGTTTACAAACAATATGAAATCTGTCTGAATTATTTTCCTCTGTCAATCATAACTGACATCAACATGAAAAACAAATTTGATGTAATCCGCCGACTGTGAGACATATGTGATACCGAAAATTGATGTTTATCCCCCAAACGTGTAAAATTACTCCGAACACCTTAGTTTAGGTCTAAATATAGCTGTAACAATTTCTCAGGTCCCTGTGTTTGCACACTGTGAAATGGTCACCTTTGTTGATGACGCCAGATCTAGTGTCATTTATATAATTACCTTTCAAGCTTCTCATTAATTTTTCACGATTTTCGATTGCTGCTAATTATAGTAACTATTATGGAAAATCGATTTAGGACAAAATACGACCAAATATCAATCCAGCATCAGCAATTAAATCAACTTGACCTTTCACACCGACACATCCCAATCAAGCACACTCGTGATGACATTGCGTGTCATCTCCCGGAATAAAGTGTGAACCAACACCCACCAAAGCACACCCATGCTGTACCTTACACGTTATAGACTAAAATGTCCAGCGCCTGTTTATAGCCGCGACGCCATAAACATTATGTCCACACATTAAATATGTACAGGTGAAAATCTATCAGAATTCCTAAATGGAAGAAACATAAATACTTACATAGTACTCAGCGATAAGCCGTGAAAATATGGTTCGAGACTTACCTGAATAAAGCTCCTGTCAAAGGCCTGTCCACGACAAACCGTTTCGTGAGCACTAACACGACTTCGTTGATGAAGACAGTAAATCTTTACTAACTGTGTCTGTACGCGACCTGTATTAAAACTCCACTTAGGAATACGCTCTCACACGCGTACACGCACGTCCATACCGTGACGAACTCGTCCACAGCGCACATGCAGTGTGAAATACAGATATGCACGACAGCGTATTTGCCTTGTGTAAACACACTATCGTCGACAGATGGTTTAGTGTAGCGTCGAGTCTTCGAAGCACACACACACAGCAGTCGAACACAGCGTACAAATTGTTATATACCTCACTGAAGCTCTAGCGAGTCAGAGTCATCTCCGACTAATAGTCTACAGGTGGGAGTGATTAACCCGCGTCAAACGGCCGTTTGTTTATATGTATAATAAAGACGCGGTCTCTTTTCCCCATCAAATGTATAATTCATTAACAGAACAATTGCAAACATCTTGTCTGAATTCAGTCGCAAGTAAGAATTAGTAGATCAATCTTGAGACTCGGTGATCATCATCGAGTTCCCTAATAACCTTACACGGGTAAATAGTCTCCTTATTTTGACAGAAAAAATCCTGTTCCAGACATTAGACATTTTTCCATAAACAGAAAATGCTTTTATTTTGTTTAGAAGAGACCGGCTCATTTTACATTATTTATGTTGTAAACAGACGAGGCTTTGCAATGTCAACCCGAGATGTTTGAAAGTAAATACATTTATCATTTTTCTTTGATCATATATCTTCGAGAGAAAGTGCAAAATACCGATAAAATACATGAAGTGTGTATATATTGTATTACCAGAACAAAGTTATTCACGTCATAGCAAATATAAACAAAACCAACAAATAAACAAATAGTTGGTGGAACAGGTAAACAAAAACATTGGTTGGTTTGGTTGGTTGATGGGTTTATTTTATAGACTACACTTTACGGGCCCTCGGTGATTCAAAATGACCTTGCCCGTCCAGGTCACGCCCTAAGGTCGGTCAGCTCCTTAGATGCGGATAGGCTGTCGCAGTTACATACAGCACGTATACGGGAACACGTAGACCACGTCCTTTAAACAGCTTCACTGCCCTCCTATGAAAAAGAAAAAAAAAACAACGATTGTCTGTTTATAGGGTGCTTGGGCCAACATTTTACTAGAATCAAAACATGACTTATATGTTAAGCCCGTTCTTTTTATACAATGATACCTGTCAAATCCGACCCCTCAGCTTACAGACACCTGTGATATTAGACATACAAATATATATGATCCTATGTCTAATGAAAATTACTAAATCAAATCAACTTGTATTCGGATATCGGCCTGTCTAATACCATCCTCGAAAATCTACGGGTTTGCTTTGTTTGTGTTTTACGTCCCATTAATAGCTTTGGTCATTTAAGGACATGCCAGGTTTTGTTGGTGGGGGAAACCGGCGTACCCGGAGAAAACCACCGACTTTCGACTGGTACCTGGCGACTGCAAAACGAACCTCGAACCCACGGCCCATTGGCGGATGGCTAGTGATCGATGCCGGACCGATCACTGAAGAGTGCTGAGAATGTAAGTTAATTACAGCACTTACATGTAGGCGGGCGTAATCCCTGGATTTTCTTGGATGGTCCAATACAAGCAATTTGTTGTGTCACACAGGGTGTCGGATTAGACAGGTTTATTTGTCTAAAGACGGACCTCAAATGACGAGTTTGATGGCAGTAACTCGGCATCGAGTTTAACGAAAAAATAAATAGAACTGGAACGAGTGGGGCGTTTAAGATTCTTTTATCATATTTGACTTACTTACGGCTTAAAATGACATATTTGGTCACACAATGAATTAGGAAAAAATCATGAAAAAATCAAGCGCTTTTCGCCTTTCGTTACAGGTATTGGTACATGTAGTAACGTTCTCACTACTGTACCCTTACAGATATAACATATATTTCATATTATATAGAGATACAAGTAGACATTCTGTGTTCTGCGTCTTTTACAGTGAATTGGTGACGTAATCAAATTGTTATTTGTGTCGTCTCAATAAGGGAAAGTACAGATGCAACATTTGAGTTTTAGAACACACTTTAAGATGGATGATAACGTCACACCATTGCCGTTTCAATGACGTCCCAAACAAAACCAAGATTATCTCAAAACGCGAAAAACGGTTACTGTGACTGGTGTATGTCGCATGTGATGTAATCAAATGTGAAAATATAACTTCTAATAAAGATAGCTTAAAACGATTTTCCATTAATACGAGATTTTCTAAAAGATTTCATTTGAACAAAACTTTTGCGAGCTAGCATGAAGGTTTCCCCGGCCATTGCGCTGCAATGCTACTTCAACGTTACCCTCTGAGAGCTAAATAACGTCAAGAACCTTATTACGTTGAGTGACGTAACAATTGAAACTTGACGTTACATTATGTCACATCATATAACACACGGATGATTCCAGTTGAATAATTGTTTATAACTCGAAATTTTGTTCAATGGAATGCAAGTAATTTTAAACATATGACTCAGCTGTCGCCTTTTTCGCCGATCACTGTGAATTCATGACGTCATATGGTTCTTATTTGTGACGTCAAAATATGTGTGTACCATATGTTATGACAAAATAGCACTTTCGCTTTTTTCGCCGATCACTGTGAATTCATGACGTCATATGCTTCTTATTTGTGACGTCACAATATATGTGTACCATATGATATGACAAAATAGCACACCGACATTCCATCTCATAGCATACAAAAGATTTAAGGAAAATAAAACAGCTTTTAGTCTCGAAAAGTTGTAATCTGAAGAAGAACTTACATTATTCGAAGATAAAGAACGCGCATAAAAACTATGAATAATCATGATATTTGAATATATTCTATACCTCACAAAAAAACCTAGGATAAAAAAGCGATATCATCAACGCAAAGAACGACAATATAAGATTAGTTTATAACTAAAGGTTGACAATCTGATTGAATATTTCCGACAGAAAATGGGATTGTGTCTGCCTGCTTCAGAACCCGATGGAAACCAACGTCGGGATGACGTGCATTTGGTCAACTATTATACCAAATAAACGGTTTATTGAGTAACAGCTTCAGAAACATGTCTGAGATAGCGGTAAGGCGATGTTATCTAGTTGTGTAGCTTTATTATACATCATACAGACAGACGCTGGCTGTCACCACGCATACGGGTCTTGCGATACATAAACTGTTACGATCAAACACCGCTTATATCCGCCAGTTAATAATTTGTTTCAAGGCACGTAAGAGATGACGAGAAACAAAAATCTTATAATGTTGTTTATATAATGATTTTTAATTTCCAAATGATTCATGAATTTATGTAAAGCTTCGACGTTTGAAGTTCTTAAGCCATTTTTATTTTTATTTTTTAAATTTCATGTCGATTTAAAACGAAAAGAAGAATTCTTTTATCAAAGATTCATGTAAATACGAAGGAATATGTTTTTTTCACTTCTAATAAATATTTTAATTATGCTACACGAAACCATTATGTACTTCCGTTGCAACTGTATCATCGCTCGTTTTAGGGGGAAAGTGTCTTTCCGACGGCTTAGTCACAAGGTAACCCTTCAACAACACTACGAGGTCTTAGTGTGACCTCAAAAGAGGGCATTACTAGTTAATAGAGAAATAACATAACCATATTCTTAATTTTAGAAGAACGCGCCGCGCTGATGCTAACATAAGGAGATACACTTTATGACAACAGGATGTCGTGACGTCACTCGTCATCATCCGGAGCAAAACTCGTTACCTTAGCAACCTCCACTGAGAAAACAATTAAGCTTTCGGAGAAGATCGAATTTCTAGTCCCAACAATTACTGGGAAAATGTACTCATTAGCTGCAGAATTATCAAAATACTAAGAAAACAAAAACGTTAAGGGAACTAATTAGTTTACTACTGACTGACAAGTACAATGCTGTTAGATTCAAGATCTGCCTTTGTTGTTCAACGACCAACAATAATCATCATCTGCCCAAACAAAAATATTTCTGGCTCAACTATTTTTATAACCTGATGCATTCCGTACACAGCATTCAGAAAATTTCAGTTGTGTGGTCTCCCATTTCGAAACAAACAACTATATTGACTTCATCTATTGCATTGCAATACGACGTTCTTTTTCTAGTTCATCGTGGGATATTTAAGACAATTAAAGGAAGTTTTACGCGAAGTCATTTTTGGGGTTTATTAAAAAATAAAAAAAGAGTGTAAAATTATTTGCTTAATTATTTGACGGAAGAGTATTTTACCGAGGCTTTAAACAGAAAACACTATCTCACTTAAATAAAACAATACCGAACACCTTGCTTTGATTTACTGTGACTAATTAATTTTCGTGAGCTAAAATGTTTCGCGTTGATTTTTGGTGATAATGTGATGTAACCAAGGTAACGGATTACCAGTGCCCCCTCCGTAAGGAGTCGAACCCTCGACTACATATTACATGTAATAGTCCTGTGTTCTACGGATTTAGCTAAAGGGAAATCCCCTCCTGCCGAGTAAGTAACAAGCGACTAGATAGTGCACCACTTTGACTTATTCCGCCTTCTGCAAAGAACTCATTTTAGAGTCTTTAGAGTACAATCATGCACGTGAGAGCAAAGTTTAAAGAGACTATCGTACACGCACCAGTGTCCCTATGTGGACTCCAATGTAACCAAGGTAATATTAGCAAATGTCTCCTTCCTTGTAGTCGTGTCAGTAGTTGGATGGTTCACCAATGTGACATTTACGGAATATTTTGCGATAAAATAATTGTCTCCCTTCCAAGAGAAATAAAAAAAAATCTACTAACTACATTATAAAAAAAAAGGAAATAAAAATGATGTAACGTTAATTAGCTTTAAAAAAACCTTACCCAAAGACAATGTATATTCGCTGCTTCGGGAAGAGCGAACACACATTGGTATATAAATCATGGCTATCTCGCACAACGACAACCTCATCAGTGTGCCACAAGCGCTTCAGTGACAAGTCAATTTTTCTGAAACGGGGGAAAAAATGAAAATAACTTTGTCAGAATGGTGGTCTGTATTAGGACCTGTCATCCTCGTGATGTATGGGGCTAGAGTGTGTGTGTATATTAACACACTCAAGAAGAAGTGCCGCACAATGACTAAACCGTAAGGGGAACTTGTACACAGTAATTAGTTTTACACTGTCACTGACAGTTAGGCAGGGAGTCATGCTTTAACTATCCTTATTATAACTTCAGTGGATAGAGCT